CGGGATCTTGGGCACACACACACAAGTGCCTACCTTTTGGGGTACCTGTTTCTCCCTCTGAGAGAGCCAGATTCTCAAAAATGGTGTTTCTTTTTACCTTTCGTAATGAGCTTCATTACCCACTGCTCTAGCAGACTTCTTTCTCAAATGTTGACAGTCTGTCTCCGTAAACTCTGTGTTATTTGGCCCAGATGACAACCCATTTCTTCTGGTCTCATTGATTCTAGATTTTCTCTGGCTTCCCCCTGCTTCTAAGTCATTCCCTCTCTGCATTCTTACTAGTGTCTCTGATTCCTTGAAGGTGGCATTGTCTGTCGGCATCCTCTAAAATGAGCTTTGGCTGCTTTATGTCCATGTATTCACACATTGTTCGGCCACACTTAGTTCCTATTTGAAGTCACACTCATGGTTCTAACCTTTTTTTTAGTGTCTCTGATTCCTTGAAGGTGGCATTGTCTGTCGGCATCCTCTAAAATGAGCTTTGGCTGCTTTATGCCCATGTATTCACACAGTCTTCGGCCACACTTAGTTCCTACTGAAGTCACACTCATGGTTCTAACTTTTTCCCACCATCACTCAGCTACCTGCAGAATCCTCCCCTCAGTTGTGTCTTTGGTCCTGACACTTTGTCATCCTCAGCCAGTCTTCTGCATCTGCTCACAGTGACTCTAGATTCCTTTTTGCTTGCTGAGCTGGAATTTTGAGAGAAATTTTGATATTTTCTCCTTTCTCCCTTAGAACTAATTCTTCCTTTCACTCAGTCATTTTCTTGAAACGTCCATCAGATTTTGTCCTGTCTTATCCATTTATGGCATCATAAATCATATGCTTCATAGCCTGGGCATTCTCTCGTGGTGTCCTAATTGATCACCTTCTCTCTTGTCTCAAGGCTGTATTGCAGTCTCCTGCTAGACCTTTCTGAGATCCTTTGTGTTCTCTGACTTGTGCACTGTAACCCCTAACCCCTTGGCTTTCTCACCTCGATGTCTTAGTTGCTGCAACAGTCTTGCTGCTTTTAGTGATATCTGTAACAGTTGTAACACATGGAGTTCCTCAGTGGGTGACATCTCTTAGCAGGAAGGGCTCTGATACTGAGAGATGAGTGAGGTGGCTGCAGAGAAAACAGGCAGAAAGCTTTCCCCAAGTGAGCTTTCCTTTGATCATTTTCTCAGATCTCACCTGTAGCCACACGAAGGAAGCTCTTTTCCTTCTTTCTGATGTTGCCTACTTATAGGTCGTAGATTAGAGGAGTGTTACGAGAACCTAACTGCTGTTCGTGTTAGAAAACGTAATATGAATTTGAACCAGTAAGCTGATACATTTTTTCAAATTTGCCTGATGAATCATTGGGAACGACCTGATTAAGTACATATGTTTGTTCTCTTTTGTCAGTAAAAGTTTTCTTTTAATTCTTGATTATTTCTGATCAAGAAGGGATAGAGTTTAAATTGCTTAATTAGTGAAATTACAATGTGAAATTCATTACTTGCTTTATTAAGTTCTCTCTTTTGCTTCCTTTCTTAAGCCTTAATTCCAGATACTCCAGAGATCTTCAATTTGTCTGCTGACTTCTCAAACTCTACCTTGTATCTGAAGTGGAATGACAAGGGTTCTGCTTTTCCACATCACTCAAATGTCATCTGGGAAATTAAAATTCTACGTAAAGAGAGTATGGAACTTGTAAAATTAGTAAGTTTGAACAAAAGTAGATTTTTTTAATGACATTAAATAAACTGACCAACTTTTAAAAACATTTTCAAGTTGGTATGAATACATTTTTGATTAAAGAAGTAGACCAGGGATCTTCCAGAGTTCATTGAAGACCATCTGCTACTAGTGAAAAATCACTTGTCAATTATCAAAACAATGTATAACCATTATACGTAGTTTAGGAAACTAAGGGAGGAATGAATAATACATGATTCCACCACTTGAAACACAGTAAATGTTATTTATTGTATTCTCATCTATCCTTTTCTATATACATTTACATAAATGAAATGAAAGTGTACCTTTCAGTCTCTTTTTATCTTTGTAATACCATATATAAAAATAAATGTTTGCAAACACTTAGCCACATTCGTTATTGAGAAATCTTAAATTTGGGTTTACTTGAATCTGAAAATTATCCTTGCACATCTTTCTTTTCTTGCTCGTATTTTAAAATTCCTGTCTATGAGTGATTCCTTATGATATAAATTTAGTTTGCTTTTAATCCAAGGGGTAATGAGGAATAGTAATAAAAAGTTTGACAGTCGGTATGTGGAACTGTCCCCCCCCCCCCCCCCGCCCCCGCAACTCTTTTTCTCCTTAATGGATTTGTAATATGCCTAATTACAGATTTAAGAGTTAGAAGAACCTCTGATAATTTTACAACTTACTCCTAAGTATCTCAATAAGATAGTAAAGAATATAAATAGGATTATTTTGTATTTTATAGTTACTTTCTTATTTTTTGTTTTCACAATGTGTTTTATTACTGTAATGGTCATAGTTGGCATGTCACTAGTGTTTTTTTTTTTTTCCTGATACTATTCTAAAAACTATATATTCATTCTGTTTATCCTCACAACAGTCCCACGAAAGAGAGATTGGTATTGTTATCCTCATTTTACAGATAAGTCATAAAAGCTTTAAAAGATGAAGTCAGTATTGGGACCCAGGCAGTTTGGTTTCAGAGTTTATGCTATTAACCACTACAATTTTAATATTTACTTATTTATATAACTGTATATGTATGTATATTTTATTGCCAGAGGTGGTGTGTGCTCACCAGAGAGAAAGAGAGAAAGCACCCCCTGATGGGGCATAATCATGGCACATTTCCTCCTTCTTCATTCCTCCTCCTTATTGGAACTTTAGTATGCATGCACATAAGCCCAGCACATTTTTTTTTTTTTGAGAGATTTTCACTGTAGGGCGCGTGCGCTCGCCAGACAGACAGAGAGAGACAGAGACAGAAAGCGAGAAATCACCCCCCAGGGGGGATGGTCACGCCGCAATCCCTTCTCCTCCATTCTCCTCTCGGGATCTTGGGCACGCACGCACACGCACCCGGCGTGAGTTTTAAGCCACCGGGTCCAGGACGTGAACCGCGGTCGACTACGTGGGAGTCCAGCGACATAGCCATTACGCTAACTGCTGGTTCCCAGCCCAGCACATTTTTCAAGCTACCAGGGCTAGGATACAAACTTCGGCCAGCGCTGTGGGATCCCATGCCCTGACAGCTGAACCATGGGGCTGACTTGATGTCTATTTTGTAACTATATTTTAGTGTCTAAAATGCCCTCCCTTTCCTTGTCACTTATCTTATCCCAGTTGAAGCCATATTTGAAAACATGAGTTAAATCCTAACCCCATATTTTAAAGCCTGTCCTAATAACCTCAGCCTATAATGCCTTTTTTATTTTTTTTGAATTTTAAAGGCAATTGTATACTTGATCCTTGTCAAAAGGGCAATTCTTGCCTGTCTGATTTGCAGCTAGCTTTGATGTATCTTTACCATTGTTTCCTTAAAACTATTACTTACGGGGCCAAATAATACATGATTCCACCACTTGAAACACAGTAAATGTTATTTATTGTATTCTCATCTATCCTTTTCTATATACATTTACATAAATGAAATGAAAGTGTACCTTTCAGTCTCTTTTTATCTTTGTAATACCATATATAAAAATAAATGTTTGCAAACACTTAGCCACATTCGTTATTGAGAAATCTTAAATTTGGGTTTACTTGAATCTGAAAATTATCCTTGCACGTGTTTCTTTTCTTGCTCGTATTTTAAAATTCCTGTCTATGAGTGATTCCTTATGATATAAATTTAGTTTGCTTTTAATCCAAGGGGTAATGAGGAATAGTAATAAAAAGTTTGACAGTCGGTATGTGGAAATGTTCCCCACCACCACCCCCCCCCCGCAACTCTTTTTCTCCTTAATGGATTTGTAATATGCCTAATTACAGATTTAAGAGTTAGAAGAACCTCTGATAATTTTACAACTTACTCCTAAGTATCTCAATAAGATAGTAAAGAATATAAATAGGATTATTTTGTATTTTATAGTTACTTTCTTATTTTTTGTTTTCACAATGTGTTTTATTACTGTAATGGTCATAGTTGGCATGTCACTAGTGTTTTTTTTCCTTTCCTGATACTATTCTAAAAACTATATATTCATTCTGTTTATCCTCACAACAGTCCCACGAAAGAGAGATTGGTATTGTTCATTTTACAGTACAGATAAGTCATAAAAGCTTTAAAAGATGAAGTCAGTATTGGGACCCAGGCAGTTTGGTTTCAGAGTTTATGCTATTAACCACTACAATTTTAATATTTACTTATTTATATAACTGTATATGTATGTATATTTTATTGCCAGAGGTGGTGTGTGCTCACCAGAGAGAAAGAGAGAAAGCACCCCCTGATGGGGCATAATCATGGCACATTTCCTCCTTCTTCATTCCTCCTCCTTATTGGAACTTTAGTATGCATGCACATAAGCCCAGCACATTTTTTTTTTTTTGAGAGATTTTCACTGTAGGGCGCGTGCGCTCGCCAGACAGACAGAGAGAGCCAGAGAACAGCGAGAAATCACCCCCCAGGGGGGATGGTCACGCCGCAATCCCTTCTCCTCCATTCTCCTCTCGGGATCTTGGGCACGCACGCACACGCGCCCGGCGTGAGTTTTAAGCCACCGGGTCCAGGACGTGAACCGCGGTCGACTACGTGGGAGTCCAGCGACATAGCCATTACGCTAACTGCTGGTTCCCAGCCCAGCACATTTTTCAAGCTACCAGGGCTAGGATACAAACTTCGGCCAGCGCTGTGGGATCCCATGCCCTGACAGCTGAACCATGGGGCTGACTTGATGTCTATTTTGTAACTATATTTTAGTGTCTAAAATGCCCTCCCTTTCCTTGTCACTTATCTTATCCCAGTTGAAGCCATATTTGAAAACATGAGTTAAATCCTAACCCCATATTTTAAAGCCTGTCCTAATAACCTCAGCCTATAATGCCTTTTTTATTTTTTTTTGAATTTTAAAGGCAATTGTATACTTGATCCTTGTCAAAAGGGCAATTCTTGCCTGTCTGATTTGCAGCTAGCTTTGATGTATCTTTACCATTGTTTCCTTAAAACTATTACTTACGGGGCCAGCAGTTAGCATAATGGCTATGTCACTGGACCCCCCCATGTAGTCAGTTGCGGCTCGAGTCCTGGATCCAGTGGCTTAAACTCACGCCGGGCGCGTGTGCGTGCGTGTCCAAGATCCCGAGAGGGGAATGGAGGAGAAGGGATTGTGGCGTGGCCATCCCCCCGGGGGGTGATTTCTCACTCACTTTCTATCTCTCTGTATCTCTCTGTCTTTCTGGCGAGTGCATGCACTCTATAGCAAAAACCTTTCCAAAAAAACCCAAAAAACAAACTATTACTTATTGGGGCCAGCAGATGGTATAGTGGTTAAGGTGCTGGACTTCTCCATGGTTGACCATGGTTTGAATCCCGGACTTGGTTACTTGAAACTCACACAAGTCACGTGTGCGTGTGTGCCCGAAATTCCGGGAGGAGGACAGAGGAGAAGGGATTGCTACATGGCCATCCCCCCTCTTGGGAGTGATTTCTCACTTTATGTCTCTCTGGTGAGTGCATACGCCCTATAGCAAAAATCTCTCAAAAAAACAAATAAACTACTTATTAAAAATTGTATAGCATAACCTCTCATTATGGCCTAACATTTTGTATTATGGGAGGTTACCATTTACTGACGTGGGGTAACTTCTCAAAACCTCCTTTTTACTTGTTTGTAGAGCGGCAATAATATTTACTCTGTGATCCAAAAAGTAAATGCTATGAAATCTGTAAAGCTGCCAAACAAGCGTTAGTTGTCATGACTTCCTTTGGGAACTAGATGAGTTTTTTTTAAAGCTAGTTTAAGAATACTAAATATTCTTTGAAATATGGACATAATGAAGCATAAATGAAAAGGGTTATAATTGAAAGATCTTGTAACTCATTGCTGAAAAATTGCAAGTTAGTAGCTCTGTACGTTAGAGAAAATATTTGTATGGGACATAAAGCAAGAATCAAAGAAAATAGAGAAAAGGAGGGAAATGGTGTAGGTCAGTTGTGACATCTTTGTTCATAATAATGTTATTAATATCAGTGTTAAAGTCAGGGTTTTTATAACTAGTAATTTTGTAACATAATGCTGCCATTTTTTGATAGATTAAAGATGAAAAATAACGTCATCAGGGTTTCATTGATAAGGCATTGATTGTTTTTTTGTTTTGTTTTGTTTTGCTATAGCCTGTGTGTGTGGCCTCAGAAGCTGAGTACTATACAGACCAGACAGGGATCAATATGCCAGAGTTGTATAGCACCCCCCCCCACACACACACACACACACACTCTCTCTCTTTCTCTCTCTCACATGCTTTTCTCTCTCTGGAAGCAACCAATTTCAAACCTTTTAGCTGATTTTTGTGTGTTTTCCTACATTTATTTTTTTCAAATAACATGATTATATTGTTGTTTTTTAATTCCCCCCCAGTTTTGAGCAATATTTTATTAACTTCTGACCATGGGAGGTAAGAATTTAGGCCTCCCTCTTCCCTCAGTGCATGCAGGTGCATATGTATTTGCATGTGTATTTTCATACAATTTCCTATCATCTAATATAGTTCTATGATAACTTTTGATAGAGCAGTACCTTTTGTTATGGTTGTATAAACACTGTTCACAATTTCTGTCGTATAGCTTGTATTATCTTGTTTTTTATTTGTTTGTTTGTTTTGTCTTTAACTTATTTCTCCCATGGGCAAGAGAGACACTCACACAGAGAAAGAGAGGAACAACTCCAATAGAGTTCTCATACAGAGATTCTCCCCAGACTCAGCCAGCTCTGGGCCATGGAAACACACATGTCTAGCACACTCAGGGAAGTCTCCATATGCTAATAACTCAGAACCTTCCTACATGATCAACCTCACGGAGTGTCATGTTTTATACTATGCTGCTCTGGCCCCTTGGTTTTTAAACTTTATTTCTCTACTTCATTAATTTAGATCTAAATTTACCCTTGATTGTGTAAATCTCCTCAAAATAATAAAATACACGTCAGTTGTACCTTTAAATAAATTTTGATCTGGATTTTCCAACTGACTTGTCCACTTTTTTTATGTAAGAGTTCACAGAGCCACGGAAAATAATTTGTATGGCTCAGAGTTTGATAAGTAGCTGAGGCTGCTTATGACCAGAGGTATCTCAGGGGCTCCAGTAGCCTCAGTCCCTATCAAACAACTCTCTATTTGAAGGGATTAATAGGAATACCCGTAACTCATTCAAGATAGGCCTTAGTGTCTTTCAGCACAATTGTTAGGAAACTGTGATTCCAGGAGGTTTGTGTAATTATCAAATGGATTTCTTACACTTTTTTTGTGTGTGATGGGTCCTCTTTTCCCCAAATCTCATCTTTCTTCTATTTTCTTCATTTTGGTGGCTTATCTACTATTGTAGATACTCTTTGCTGTCAATAATAGCTAGCATGCAAATAGAATTATTGTTTTGATTTGTCAAAATATTTAAAAACTACCAATTATAAATATTGAGGAGATGTAGAACAGATGGGACGTTCACACATTACTCATGGATACATAAAATGCCACTAGACAAGTTCATTGAGACACAACATTTCTGAAAATATCTGTATTCTATACTCATGTGTAATAGTTTACCTGAGTATAGAATTATAGGTTGGGAAATTTTCTGAAGATTTGGAAGACATTGTTCCATTGTTTCTTTTTGTAGATCTATTTCCTCCTATTATGTCAGACACTTATTGGGCTCTCTTAGTCACACAACACATGTCAGCTTAGGTAGTTTTTTCTTGTTTCATTTACTTGTTTTTTCTCTCTTCCATTTTCTCTTTTCCTTTTAGAACTTCTGCTTTTCAGAAATCGAATTTGCCAGACTGGTCCTTTAACTGTCTTACCTTTCTTCTCTTCCCTCTGTCTTGTGTTTGATTTTTTTCTTAACTTATGGATGTGATACTTTTTCTTATCTGTGAGAATATCAATGCGCTAACCTTTCTCTCTATACACCCTGTTTCTTCAAGTTGCTTTTTTGCTTTATTCTGATTTTTGGTTTTCATGTTAGATTTTTTCCCCTACATTTTCTGGTCATCCTGATTGCTGTTCCTATTTAATTGAGGAGCTCTTTTAAAAAATCTGATTGGAACTTTGGTTTGCCAAATGGGACTTACTGTCTGGGGACTTCCCTATTAGGGTGATTAGGATGGGCTATTTGGCAAACTTATAATACTATTTTTGGTATTTTTACCTTGACCTGTTTATATGCTTCAGAAAAAGTTTATTTAGACTTCTGTCTGGACAATATGAATCTGGCTTTCAGTATCTTGACTGAATAAAAGAAGAAGGTTCCCTCAGCCTTCAGAATGGAATAGATTAGCAGTCTTCTGTTTGTGGAATGGTATTTCCATTCTCAACTCTTCCTGAACTCCTTTAATCCAGAGGTATTCTATTTTACTTTTCTGTAACATAAATCTCCATTCTTCTGCCAGAGTGAACAGGAATCATCCTTTAATAGTACAGTATGTCAGGGGATCTGGATTTCTAGCATAATCATCTAGCAGCTTTCAAGCAATTTTTCTGTTTGAGTCCACCTTCAGTCCGCATTTCCAGGAGAACCTGGTATGGCCACTCACTGAGCTCTTTGTCGTTTCTATGATAGAAGCCAGGTGGTTTCCTGACTTTTCCATTGTAGGCTTATGATTCATCTTTCTCAGGTCCTAGTAAGCTAACCAATATGCATCTGCCTTTCAGCTTCCCAAATCTTCATGGTGGTACTGTCTCCTATTTTTTTGTGTGTATGTCTATGCTTTCTTTAAAAAAAAATCCTGCTTATCTTGTTTTAGAGGGATTTCAGGAGTGAAAGAGAAGGTAATACATTTGTGTAATCTCTTGCCTTAGCTGGAGATCCCAGGATATCTTTTATCTTCCTTATTTGATTAAAATTTTGTCTATTTCTCACAGTTGAGATTAATATTTTATATTACTGTAAGCTATATATTAAGAAAGTTTAAAATATAGAATGTTAACTGAGAAACAAATCCAGTCTAAAACCATTTATTTTGTTGAAATACTGTCCTTCTTTTTGATTTCAACTCTTGGGGGACTGAACGTATTTAAGTATTCTTTTCTCAGTGAAAAATGGAGATCATTTGGGCAATGGTATATTTTCCTTCATGCTGTAATAGATGTTTTGATGACTGTCAGTATCTTACATGATTCTATGGTAGGTCCACAATTGGAGAAAAGGACATACCTGAATAATGACTATTGCTACTCTGACTCTCCTGTTATACCTTTTGGATAACTGAGATAGTTTCACAAAAGGACAAACTTTAAACTTACTTAGCTGATAACTGTATATAGTCTACTGTGTTTTGTTTCGTTATTAACCTTAAGGAGAGAGAACTTGGAAATGTAACTCGTATCTGTGTTCATTTTTAGGTCACCCTCAATACAGCTCTGAGTGATGAAGACACAGTGCATCACTGGAGTTGGGTTTCAGACATGCCCTTGGAGTGTGTCACTCACTATGTAGGAATTAGGTGCTACGTCGATGACCTTCATTTCTCTGGTCACAAAGAGTGGAGTGACTGGAGCCCATTGAAGAACATTTCTTGTAAGATTATATTTAAAGAATTTTTGTTTCAAATGAGTTAGATTGGCCTTACTTAAGAGTAAGGTTTAGTTTAAGATTTCAGTGTTCTAGTTCCCAGTTGGGTGCATAAAGGGTCTCCAGGGGAGGTTCCAGCCTGGCCATACTGGAGGTTTTGATTTAAGAAGTCTGAAATGGGCTTCAAAAATTTGCATTTTCTTTTTTTCACTTAAAAAATTTTTCTGGGAACCAGCAGTTAGCGTAATGGCTATGTCACTGGACTCCCATGTAGTCAACTGAGGTTCGCGTCCCAGACCCGGTGGCTTAAAACTCATGCCAGGCGCATGTGCGTGCGTTCCCAAGATCCCGAGAGGAGAATGGAGGAGAAGGGATTGCGGCGTGGCCATCCCCTCTGGGGGGTGATTTCTCGCTTTCTGTCTCTCTGTCTCTCTCTGTCTGTCTGGCAAGGGCATGCGCCCTATAGCGAAAACCTCTCCAAAAAAAAAAATTTTTTTTTTTTCTTGAGGGTAAGTGCATTCACCAGAGAGTGGGAGAAAGCAAAAGTGAGAGAGAGAAAAGGAGAAAGCACCCCCCAGAGGGGATGGCCACGCCACAATCCCTTCTTTTCCAGTCTCTTCTCAGGATTTTGAGCATGCATAAACACATGTCTGGTGTGTTTTTCAAGCTGTTGGGTCCAGGACTTGAACTGTACAGTTGGCTCTGTGTGAGCCAGCCACCTTAACCACCACTCTATCACTGGCCCTCAAGAATCTGCATTTTTAAAGACCTTTCTGAGTGATTAGATAAATATACAGTTTGAAAATTACTACAATGAGCACTGGAGAAGAATTAAAAATTATATATAAGCATTAATGAAATCAAACCTATGTACTTTTTAAAAATTATGGTTTCTGGTTTCTGGCTTACAGAACAGACTCCTAGGGGTCACAGAGTTATTTCAGAGAACATGGGAATCTGCAGGTGTGTCCCTAATCGTCTTTATATTAAATATAACTCATGCAAGTAGAATGTTAGCAATATGGGAGAGAGTCAGGAAAACTGCTGACAGTAAAATGAGGTCCTGAAAAAGATCTGCAATTATTGTAGATGGACCACTCTAAGTGGCAGTGTGGAGAAACGGGTCAGAGGAAGGAAGCAGTAGAGTAGTTAAATAAATAAGGATGATCTGTTGTAGTTGAGCAAAAGACCATGAAGGCATGAACAAGGACACTTTGGTTTAGAAATGAAAAGGGAAATGGTGTGAAGACACTGAGGAGACAGGATTAGACAGGTAACTTGAGTGCATTTGGTGAGGGAGAGAGCCAAAATGACTATTAGTGTAGGCAGCCAGGTAGAGCTGGTGGTTATGTGCACAAACAGAAAATACTGAAAGACTTAGGTGAGGAACAGAAACTTCATTTTGAAAATGTTGAGCTTGAGACCCTTTTGAAGTGTCTGGGCCTCAATGCTCATGGGCAGTTGGAAATGTGAATCTGGCATTCAGGTTAGAAGCTGGAACTGGATATGTATACTTGAGAATCATCAGTACATGATGTGAATTGTGCTAAGTCCTGAAGGTTAACATAACTTAGGGAAAGGGGAATGGAGACCAAGGATTACACCCCTTAGATGAGTGTTTGTCTGAGGGTAGAGTGGAAGAAATAGAGGCCAATAAACAGGGTTAGGAGTGGACCAGGGAAGTACAGTGTTAATAGAACCCAAGAGGGGAGGGAGTTTTGAAAGGGAGGCTTTAGGGAACATACCAGATACTGTGGAATTCAAAAGGAAAGATTACTGAGAAGTGGCTATTGGATGGAACCTTTAGGCCAGTGAGCCATTCTAGAAGTGAGCCATTCTTATTCTAGAATGAGCCATTTTTATTCTAGAATGGCTCACTGAGGTAGAAGCTGTATTACAGAACATTAAATAGTCAGGGAGTAGAAAGGAGAATAAAGGTCATTTAATGGTAGGCTATTTTGGAGTGGGCAAAAAGTATGACTTTAGCTTTCAGAGTTGGGATTAAAGAAAAATTGTTTTTTTAGTATGTAAAGTATTTGTGTATATCTTGTGCTTTTTTAAGGATGTAGAGTACTTGAATATATATGTAGGCTAATGGAAAGTAGGAAATCTGCCTTAGATATATAGAATAATTTCAAAGAAATGAAATTACTTAATGAGTAATTTTTGTGGGGAATGTGGATTATTTGCATATGTATATAAGCCTATTGAATTTGAACCCGAAGACTTAGACATTACCTATGATCTTAAACACACCCTTCTCCCCACCATCACCCCTTCAGAAGTAAATAAAATCATACATACTTTCATTTTATTTGTCCTGTCTTGCTCTTTTAAAGCCTGGGAGACATCCCTTATCTTTTGGTTATCATTATTGCCAAGTAACTAACTAGTATGTTTTGTATATTTTGGGCTATTTTAAAAATAATTTTCTGAAAACTAGATCTTATTATGGAGACTGTTAGATGAAAAAGACTTCCAAAATATTTATAATTCTTTTTTTTTTCCTCCCCTAGGGACTCCTGATTCTCAAACTAAGGTTTTTCCTCAAGATAAAGTGATACTTGTAGGCTCAGATATAACATTTTGTTGTGTGAGTCAAGAAAAAGTGTTATCAGCCCAAATTGGCCAAACAAGTTGTCCCCTTATCCATCTTGATGGGGAAAATGTTGCTATCAAGATTCATAACATTTCTGTTTCTGAAAATAGTGGAACAAATGTGGTTTTTACAACAGAAGAAAACATATTTGGAACAGTTATTTTTGTAGGATGTGAGTATATATTTGTAAAAAGAGTTTGTATTAACCTCTTTTCATCCTTCTTGAAAGTCTTGATTCTATTATTTGGAGTGATTCCATTTCTTTCTTTGTTTTTAAATACAAATAATATACAAAAGCATTAGAATTTTAGTTGTTTTAAAATGAGTCCTTTGCTGATTGTCTATGTTCTATGTATCTTACAGTTTTTACAGTAAGATTTGAAACATCTAGCTGCTGATGTTTAGTTTATATTCTTAGTTGTCAGCTTTGTTGAGACCTGGGTAATTATTCCTTAATTGTTTCAGAATTACTTTGTATATATTAATTCCCCACCTAATTAAATCATACTTTTTTAAGTGCCCAAATGAAAGAAATTGTATTGCTTTAACATAGGTCTTTCACTAGCATAGTAGATCCTCTCTGAATTTTAAATGATGCATTTGAGGAGAATAGGATAATAGAAGGACATGGGTGAGAACTCTTACCCTCCCATTGTCTTCTATATATAAAGTATGCTTGATCATTTAGGGGTATAGCTTTACCAATGTGATCACTCTCACAGTACAAAATTCCTTGATATTTTCTAACATTTTTTTTATGAGTGTGTGCCCTGCCTTTATGGCTCATGTTAAATGTCCTGCCTGCATTCTGAACTCAAAGGTTCCGAGTTTGGTCTAAGGATCTCATGAATAAAGCATGTGGGATGGATTGAATGGATTATACAATACATATATTTTCTAATTGTTTAGTGATTTTTCTTCTGCCTTTTTTTTCTATTATTTTCAACTGTAGTCTAGATCAGCCACTCTCAGTCTCTTTTTTCCTCCTACTGTAACTTCTGATAAATCACATTCAGATGTTGATTTACTCCCAAAGGAATACCAGGGTCAGGCACACCTCTTAGCTGGATGTCTGTAACCTGACTCTTTTTGTATTCCCAGTAATGCATGTTAGGATTCAAGTAAAAGGGAAGTTATTTTCTAATTTAAATTTCAGAAAATTATACTCTTTCCTAATGGAATTTTAGGAAATTATTACACTTGAAATATTTCCTATGTGTAGTAAAGTTGTGGATTAAGTTATACCAAAAAGTGAACCATCCAGCTAAAAGTATAAAAGAAAAAAAATTTTTAAGTTTTAAAGATGAGAATATGGACTATTTTGAGCTCCATTATTTCAGACAGTGATATTCTTTTATCATAGTACCAGAACAAACCTGTATAAATAATAATTTAACCTTCATTTTTAACATTTGAAGATTGAAATATTGTTTAATATTTGTCAACTCAGACAGATAACATTTCCCTTCAGCAAGAGTGGTAACAAGAGTGGTAGCCCTCCAGAAAGAGCTCTTAAGAAACTTATAAAATCAGATTATGGTATGTTATGACTTGACAATCTTATTTTCTTTCCCTTACATATATATATCCTGTTAACCTATGACTTGCTGAAAAGAATTTAGAATCAGTTTGTTAGTTTCCTCACACACAACATGCACACATACCTAGTAAAACTTACTGGAATTTTGATTGGTGTGAAATTAGGTGTATAGTTCAATTTAGGAGAATTTTCATCCTTATATTTGGTTGTCAGAAAAATCATGATGTATTTTTCTATGAAAAAAATGTGACATGACTTTTCCGACAACCTATTAGTATTGAGTGTTGCAAACCATGAACATGGTATATCCCCCTTTTTACTTAGGTGTTTGATTTTACTTAGTGATATAAACTCTTGCATATTTTTTGGTAAATTTATTTCTAGTTACTTAATTATTTCTGGTGCAATTAAGAACAACTTTGCTTTTTAAGTTTGATTTTCTATTTGCTGGTCTATAAAACTATAATTGATTTACATATCAGTTTTACCTAGTTTCAGTTAATTCTTTTGTAAATTAATTTCTTTGAAAAGAAAAATCAGTATGTTGTATTTCTAATGTTATCCTTGTATTTTCCATAGTCCTATCTTGTCTTCTGTTTCCTTCTTTGTCACTTTTGTTATTTTAAGTACTTCAACTTAACATATATAAATACTAAAATAATCAGCATTTTAAGTAGATTCTAAATTTTTGGTATGTGATTTTAATAAAATGACTGCAAGTCTTGACTTGAGAATTCAAAATAGTTTTCAAAATAAATATATCAGTGTTTACAAATTTAGTGTTTAATTTTAACAATTTAAAAAACTGAAATAATAGTTTGGATAAATATAACAGTAGAAAATAACAGTTTCTATATATGTTTGGCTAAATATGATCACAGAAATAACCATTTCTATAAGTAGTATCAGACCACAGCATTTTCATTAATCATTTTGAAGGTTTCTCTCTTTCTTACACACAC